TTAGTGACAAATATTAGTGACAAAACTAATGTTGTCGGTAGTAACACTATTTTATGAAATAAGTGATAATTTTTTTAACTTGCCACTAAATATTTTGGGTTAGTGGCCATTATTTATTTTCGTCACTAAACATTAGGTTTTAATGACGATATAAGTTTTGTCACTAATACTTTCGCCACTAACAAACTTATTTCTTGTAGTGCATGGTGCTATTGAAAGGATATATCCTGAACCTATGAAAAAATTATTTGACTTGTATAAAGACAAGAGTCCGTCCTTAAAGGACAATAATATTACACTCAAGCTAATAATTAATTTCTCACTCAAATTCTTTGTTCCTTGGATTTGAGTGTGAACTTTGGCTTGTGATTTTAATCAGAACGGATATATACAAATACATGGAATAACAAGTATATAAATATATACTAGAAATTATCCGTATTTGAAGGCACTATGTGACAAAAAATATCAAAAATTAAAAGAAAATTATATCCAGTCATGAAATTCAATATTATCATCACACCATGCCACATCTGAATGTATTATACACCAAAAAATCATACATCATCATAACAATATAAAATTACAATTTATCAAACAAAGCTCTAAAATCCAACATTGCAGAGAGTTTATTAATGTCAATCCTAAAAACGATACTAACAGAACATCGTATAGATTCAATAATTTACTCGAGTATAATGAAAAAAAAACTACATGTGTATGATAGTATAAAATCAGAAATTAAACAAATAAATCTTAAAATTTAGAAAAAAGATATCGCATATTGAATTCAAATAAAAAATCCCAAAGATCAGAAAAAATGTAAACAATTATAAGTATCTGCCGTGCAAATTATGTACCAAGTCATGTTGAAGATCTCGCATATTGAATTCAACTATCAAAATTTTTTTTTTCGAGTAGGCACAACTTGCATGTCTTGTGCTTTCCAAGCAATCTCTATAAACACGACCAAACACCCCTTCACCCAGATTTTTTTTTTTTGGGGAAGGTATTGTAGAAAGTTTTTTTTTTTTTTTTGTTCCGTAATAATATTTTGCTGCCAAGAAATGCCACATATTATTGCCAAGATATACCAAAAGGTTAAGAGGCACTACATATGGATATAAATATCCACTACAATGTTTTTTTTTATCACTTCTCATCTGGCGTAGAGTGCGAAGAAAGAGACATTCACCTGATGAATTTCAAATTCAATTTAACTGTGACGGCTTCGAGTCAAAGGATGCCTACAATTAAAAAAAAATATGTGATTGGTCATTCATCAAACATCTAATTATCATCATAAAGATATTTTAAACTAACTTTTGATCCGTTTTTCTAATGTTGACAATTATCGAGAAACGAATTTACCATGAGAAGTATAAGAATGAGATAATTGTCGTTGGCTATAGCTATGAGGGATAATAATTATAATTGTAGTGGTGGTTTATAAATAATTATTCATGTCCGAATCTACTATATAACACAAAATATAATCAATCAAAAAAGTTGAGAAAAATCACCAATGGATTGCATTGCATAATGAATTTTTAATTTTCTTACAATAACATTATAAAAATGGAATTCTTTGTTTAATGTATTTGATTAATCAAGATCAAATTCCTATTGTTCAATAGGAATTTGATTACCCAGAGATATTTGGTCTCTGTTTTTCTTCTTCTTCCATGAACTGTGAGCACTATTGCTGCTTACATTCCCTGTAGGCCCACTGTCTGCCACGCTACAAACCTATCCTCCATGTATGCCCCGAAGGCTCCGGCGATAAAAAAAAAAACAAAGAAAACTATGGCAATATGAAATCAGTCGCAACCACACACCATCAATCCCACCGCCAAAGTTAAGAGAGAGGGAGAAAGACTGAAGACACGCACACACAATGCACAAAGAAACACACACAGGCAAGCACACACACATATAGAAATTATTGCAAACATTCAAACTAATTCAAAAATCACTCAGAATTTAAAAAAAAAGTCAAAAAGAATCGGAGGAAAATACCGTGATTGAGGCGGTGACCGGCATTAGCGCCTTATGGGGTGTAGGTAGAGACAGAAAGGAAGGGGGAGAGAAAGAGGAATTGGAGAGTTGAGTGAGAGAGTAGTGATGTTAGTGGATCGGAGAAAAATGAGTATTAATTCAAACTTGCTCTTTTTGGACTGATAATGGACTATTCGTTTATGAAAATACGCGTACAAATCCGTGCGTTAACGGAGGCGGGAATAGACTGAAACTCATCCCTGTCCCGCTAAACCTATAATATATATATAAATATATATATATATATATATATTTATATATATATATATATTCATTTGTTATATAATGAGTTTTCATCATTCTCACAAATTCATTTGTGAGGTTTTATGTTTTTTTTTTCAAACCATATAAATTAATTGGTATGGTTAGAGACGATAGGGATCAAAATTTACCCGTGGGTGGAAACGAGGATTAAAATTTTTTTCATTAACTAAAGTGGACAAATATTTTTGAAGTGGATACATGGGTGGAGACTACTTCCCCTGCCTCCGCCCCCGATCCACTGTCATCCCTATGAGGGAGGTATGTGAGAGGGAAAGAGAGCTGAGGGAGAGAAACATAATATTAGATAGTATGAGAGAGAGAGAATTATATGAAAAATATGAGTTTTAGATTTGTGGAAGGAATGAAAATCTTTTTTAAAAATTGAGGAGAAAATTTTCAAATTAAGACCATCGGATCAAAACAATATGAGCCTCAAAATGCTCAAAACAAACAATCTAACTTCTTTATTATATATATTAGTCGTTACCCAACAAACAAAAAAAATCTTAAATAATTGCTCAAATTTAAAAGGAATGACCTAAAATATTCATATCAATTCTTCTTATAAAATGACTCTAAATATATCGTCGACCATATATTCCATATTAATGGAATTGCCATAAGAGTATATAAAAACTCCTCAAAATAATATCATATATACAAATGCCTTTGGAAAAAATAATAAATATTAACATAATCCATTAAAATTTAAAAATCTCTAAACAATAAATAAAATTTTGCTAATTTATAAGACTTTCGAATTTATCACCTCCACTACCACTCAATCCAATAATATAACACAATTATAAACTTAATCACCATGTTTCCGATCCACCCTACTTCCATATAATAAATAACTATAATAAAAAAAATACTAACAGAAGACAATTAATTTCAAAATCTTTAAACGATAAATAAAATCAATAAAATCTTGCTCATTTGTAAAACTCATGAATTTATCATCACTATCACCATTCAATTCCAAATGACAGAATATAATTATAAATTTAATCATCAAATGTCCAATCCTCTACATATAAATATACACAGAAACACACCTATATACATTTCTTTTTTGATTACCAATAAACCCTCATAACCAATAATTATTTTTATTAAAAATACAATAATTCAAGTTTTTAAGATAAAATAATAATATATAAATGTTTAATTAAAAAAATGATAAAAATCACAAACATTCCCTAAGCTTTGACAATATTACATAGACACCTCTTGACATTTTATAATTAATATTGAGCCTCCCTGAGGTTTGAATTCATTGTACAAAGACCCTCTCTCTCCTTTTCGTCAATGTTGCTAACAAAAATTGATAATTCCATCCCAAAAAATTTTATTATTTTTACAATTGCTCTTTTCCAAATTTAGTACAAAAAAAATAAAAATTTAATAAAATCAAATAAAATTTGATTTAGTACCCAAAAATTGATATAATTTAGTACTCCAAAAAATTGATTAAATGAATTTTAATATTAATTAGATAACAATAAAAATTAACTTGATATTAATTTGACAAAATTAAATGTCAATTTTTTTGATAAAATTATATATTAATTTATAATCTAAGATTCATTTCGTGTTAAATATTATTTGGTGTTTATAGTCAATGCGCTATTTTTTATTTACATTAAATGTTATTTACAAATTAAGAATCAAGTAGCAAATTTAGGTCATCAAGTATATGAAAATTTTGAATTAATTTCATGAAATAAATAATTGTATAATATGTAGTTTCATCTATAAGATATATAAATAGAGGGAAAACAAAAAAAAAAGAAAAATAATAATAAGAGAGAGTATAAGATAGATAGATAGAAAGAGTTATACGAGGAATGAGAGTGCATGAAATTTAATTAGAACCATCAGATCAAAATGATCTAAATCACGAAAAGCTCAAGAGGAATAATTCAATTACTTTATTATATAGATAATAATATATATACAAAAAGGAAAATAGATTAGCAAATTACTTTCTGAAAAATAAAAGAAAATAGAGGAGAGACAGTTTTGACTAGTCTACCCGGTGACTCACAAGCCCCTTTATTACGTAACAACTGGATTCTCCTTGAATTGGCTTCGCGTTAGCTGTCAGGTATTCGAGGAGGATAGGACTCCTTCGCTAAAACAAAACATACCTGCAATTGTCACAAAAAAACCAATCACCCCTCCTCTCTCTCTTCCCCTCTCCTCTGCACACAACACGTGAAGCCATTAGAGTCTGTCAGTTCGTATATGTAGGAGTAGGAGTAAAATAAAAAGGCACATTCAATCAAAAAGCCCGACTCTTTTTGAGGAATTTGGATTCTTATGTCACAGCAATCCTTTCCTCACTCATATTTATGTCCTCTTGCAACTTTATTTTATATGCCAAGTTCATGGCAATCACTGACAAACCCAACATTATTTTTTTCCCCATGACCCTAGAAAACACCTATGCTTCTTTATAGCAGACATATTTGAGCTCATACTCTGCTAGATGCTGCACGGATACACACACTCATCAGTCATTTCATTATCTCATTAATTTCTCGTGTTTGTGTTCGGTAGCAAGGAATCAAAATACATTGATCCCTCAATTTACTGATCCGCTTCGCTTTGCTTCATCGCTTGACCTTGAATATAGCTGTAAATGTAAGAAGGCCTTGTTACAATATCTTTTCATGGGAAAGAAGGGAGGTACTTCATGGTTGACAGCCGTAAAGAAGGCCTTCAGGTCTCCAACTAAGGCCAATGAGAAAAATAGTAGCAGGAGGAGAGAAGAACATGAACAAGAAGAAGGGAAGGTAATCATTTAACTGTGTTTATGCTTTCCAAAACTACTTTTTGTTGTATGTTTTCGATTGTAGTGTTTCTACACATGGCATTTTTGGTGGAATTACATTTTTGGGCGGTTTGTGCAGAAGCGACGATGGATGTTTCGAAAGCCTACAAATAATACTCAGCAAAGTCAAACAAAGGTGACAACCCATTCTACACCTGAAGAACCTATGTTGGTTGCTGAGCAAAGGCATGCGATTGCCGTTGCAGCAGCCGCGGCTATAGTTATTCAAACAGCTTTCAGAGGTTACCTGGTAATCAGTACTATATTTAGTAAGATGCTGTCCAAGCAATTCATAAGCATTTGATTTTCTCATCAAAGCAGATTTTGTTTTTGAAGCAACAAACTGTAGTGCCTTAAAAATTGATGCTTGCCCAATCTCGGTTAGAGTGGATACTCACAGGGGACCAGGATTACTGTTGTTTGCAATCTTTACTGTTTGTAAGAAGAATTTGATTGGCTGCAGGCAAGAAGAGCACTACGTGCACTTAAGGGCCTTGTGAAGCTTCAAGCTTTAGTGAGAGGACAGAATGTCCGAAAGCAAGCAAAGATGACACTAAAATGCATGCAGGCTCTGCTTCGAGTGCAGGCTCGGGTTCGTGATCAACGTACAAGTGCGAGGCTTTCACACGATGCAGGCAGAGAGTCTTTGTTTGCCGAGACAAACGACTTATGGGAGTCTAGATATCTTCAAGACATCCATGGGTCGATGGTAAGTTGTTTTCCAGAGTTTCCAACTTTCCATAGCACATACGAAATCAAGTACAACCTCCTTATCGGTTCTTTTGTTCGTATTCTGGATTCCTAACTCACATGCTGTGTTTTTTTACACCCATATCAAGTTATGGTGTTCTGATAGGAACGCAAGAGATGGAAACGAAGTGGAAGAAAGGACAAACCGGCTTGATCGGTGGATGGTAACAAAGCAATGGGAGAGCAACAGCAGAGCTTCAACTGATATGAAATGGGAGAGCAACAGCAGAGCTTCAACTGATATGAAACGGGAGAACAAGAGCAGAGCTTCAATTGATAGAAGGGACCCTATAAAACCGTTGAAGTCGACATATCTGGCCCTTACTCTTCTAATTCAACTAACAATTTTCGAAGAACACAATATCAAAGTCACCACCAAGACAACCTACCCCATATCATGTAGCTTCTCCTCACCGTGCACAGTACAATGTCTCTGTCATCCAACCACCCATAACGCCTTGCCCATCTAAAACCAAACACTTGCAAGTGCGTTCAGCAAGTCCTCGATGTCTCAAAGAAGACAAAAGCTACTCAACGGCAAACAGCCCAAGCTTACGTTCGACACCTCATTTCAATGGCAGCGGATGCCACTATACCACATGGGCTAATGAGGGTGGTGGTACTGCTGCAATGCCCAACTACATGGCTGCCACCAAGTCTGCAAAAGCTCGGGTTAGATCACAAAGTGCACCAAGGCAGAGGCCCTCAACACCAGAGAGGGAACGAGGCGGGTCGGCAAAGAAACGCCTGTCATATCCAGTTCCTGAGCAGCCATACATTGGAGCCGCCAATGACTGCAGCAGTTTTAGCCAGAACTTGAGTTGTTCCAGCTTCAAGAGTGTTCAAGCAGGCTATGGAGGAATGGAGCAACAGTCGAGAAGGTCATGTTACACAGACAGCATTGGCGGAGAAATTTCTCCATGTTCAACTTCAACCACTGCTTTAACAAGGTGGTTAAGATGAGAGAAGGACAATGCTAGAACCATGAATGATCAAGGAAGCAATACCCCTAATTGTTGTATTTTGCTTGTATTGGAAAGTAAAATCTAGAGTTAGTTAAGATGGGGATTGTGCAGGAAAGACAACAAAATGGATTGTCTGAGTAGTCTCTATGAAGTTTAGCTTTTTCCACATCTTAAACGAACATATGTTCTCCTTTCCTGAAGCTGTCGTTTCATTTCATGTTTGCTCTTCTGTTTTCCAGTGAGTTTTTTTTTTGTTCGCTCTTCTTTACCTTTCCTAATTCGATCCAGTAATAACAATTTTTTTTACCACAGTAATTTCCCAACTGCATTTTCACTGATCTTACTATTTTCAGAACGTTGAAGGTCTAACGCAAATGAGTATGATGAATAGTGTGTCATGGAGTAAGGAAGGAGTTAGTTTATTATTTATTCGATATAGTTTTGCTGCTTTCCCCTTAATTGGTTATAGGTATTGCACGGGATGATTCCTGCAATCGTGGGAGGCAGCGATCACTCAGCTGACGAACCTGAAACAGCAGGGTTAGAAAAAAGGGGGCTGAACGTGTGTCCGACTAATCCTCTCCGAAGCTTAAGTCAGTATAAGATCGAAGAATTTTGCTTAGTGAACTATTTTTCTGGTTCGAGTGTGCGTACCTTTGTCGATTTTTCTGAAGAGTATTTATACCTGAATTAGCAATGATTGCCAAAGATCTCCAATCTCATTTGGACATCTCACATTTGACACACCATTCATTGTACAATAAGTGTTTTCTATTCACGTCTCCTCCTATTGAATGCTAAGAAAATGGGGGTAAATGCTCAGTCATGTGCCAAGCATTTATGTCACTCCCCAAGTATCCAAAATCCCCCAGATCGGCATCTTACATCTACTGAGCATTGAATACTCGGAGGTAACAATTCCTCGGAAGAGCCGATCGCGTCGTCTCGGCGCATCAGCCATTAATACTTAGACATCATGACAGTAGACTTAGACTCCCAAATGACAGGTGATGGTAGACGCGCATTTATTTGCCTTGTCACTATCACTCATTCCGCCATAAATGTGGGGTCACATCGCATTAAATACGATGTCAGCTGTCGTACTCGACTGCTCCGTATCTCCATACCTCGGCTTACCTCCTCGGGACCCCTTAGACATCCCAACGGTACCCTTTGGACATCCCAACGGTTTCATTATTCCACGTGTCAACCTGGGGGCTGAAGAGCCACCTAGAGTCCCGCCAACTGCCTCCCAGCCGCAATCATTTTGCGCCGCAAAACAAGTGGCGTAAAGAGATTGGAGCTCCATTATCATGTCTTATTAATAGCGTCAGTTATTTATACGTCTGGTGCCGCCCTTTTCAAATACCCTAATGATGACTCAATTTTTTGATTTCCGCTCCCTGTAAGACAGTATAAATAGGAGGTTTTCATACCTTCTAAGAACTTTTTTACATCCTCGATTTCTCCTCAGCAGTCAGACCCCCGAGTGTTCTTCTGTTCTCCGAGTTTTCCTTGGTCCTCTGGGCTCTCTCTTTGAAGACCACCTTCCTGTAAGTACTTCCAATTGAACTTTTCCTCTCTTCATTTCCTCTATATTTCGTCCTCTTAGCGCCCACCAATGGCTAGAACAAGTAGAACCAAGGGGGAAACGTCTGTTAGGGCTAGTACTACCCACAACATGAGGAGAACCCAAGTGAATGATGAGAATATCCAAGCTTTTAGGGTTAGGTACCACATCCGTGAGCCTGTCTTTGCTTTTCTCTTCAACCTCACTCACCATAGGAGGGATATGAGAAATGTGGACATGATGCCTTTTTGGACAAAGGCCATCATGGAAGGAGGGTTGACCTTCCCACTCCACCCCCTGTTGTTGGGAATATTGATGCAACTAAAATTCGTTTCCCTTCAATGTGGGGTTAACTTCTTTAAGATTGTGATGGGCGTAGTCGCCTTAAACGCTCTGCTGAGGACAAACTTAGGAGTAGACGAAATTTTATTCTGCTACGACCTAAGGCTAGTTCCTGGGGGGCGATATTATCTCCAGGCTCGAGATTCCTCAATGTATTTGGTAACCCACATGCCCGACTCGAACAAGGGTATGTAGACGATCTGATCATGCTCGACGGCAGTTGGGAGAAAGGGACCGGTCCCGAGTATGACGGATTGTACTGTCCCAAAGTACCGAGGGATGAAGGTGAGTTTTCTTTCTGACTTCTTGATTTATCTATTCTTCGGTCCGAGGGACGTACTTATTTTGTTTTGTTTTTGCAGAAGGATATCGCCGGGACGCTGCTCAACCGTTGAGGTCCCAAGTTCGGTTTGCTGACCTGCTGAGAGTTTGGTCCTCAGACCTAGTTGAACGAGCGGCGTATACCCTCCTCGGCTACACGCCGACTTACAGTCGATTCTCCTAGATCCAACCTCCTTTCAACCCTTTCGTTTGGGAAGATCACTCCTTGTTGAAAAAGGGAGAATCCGAAGGAGGTTTCGAAGAAGAGTCTGAGCATCACGCTCCCGAGCCACTTGCGCCCGAGATGTTTAATCCGTCGCCCATCACTGCAGCTACCATGGAGGCCGCCGCCTCGGCAAGGGGAGTCATGCTCGCCGGGTTGGCCGGACCTCCAATATTGCCCCCATCATCCCCCAGCCCAGTTCTCCTTGGAGGCAACCGCCGCCGTGCATGCAACCCAAGGATTCAGCTTTGCCAACCAGGCAAAGGCCCCAAACTCAACAAGTCCATACCCCGGAAGACCGACTGAGGGACAGGCGTGCCCGGGATATCAAACAATCTGAGAAGTGTCGTGTAAAGCAGCGGCATGATGTCCCGACCCCGGGCCCGTCTATCTCAGGCGAGTGGGTTGCTCAGGTTGAGACCAGGAGCGGTCGGCCAGTTCTGAAAGCTGAGTCCATCCTCCAATCCCTCAAAGTGGTGTTTGCTGTCGCAAGGACTCTTCAATTTGATGCCGATATGGTCGTATACAAAGGTTATTCGAACAATCGACTCCTAATGAGCACTATCTAAAACAACCTAGTGGTAAGTTTAATGCTTTCCCAAGTAGTCCTCGCACCCTGTTGGTCGTTCCCTAATATTTATCCTTTTTCAGGCCAGCTAACAGGTGGGAGCCATCATTGAACGTTTTTGGGGATATAAGCAAGAACAAAAAACACCGAGCGAGCCGCAGCTGCTAAGGACGACCACATCCTTAAGGTCGAGAGGACCCTCGGCGATCAAACCAAGCATATTGCCAAGCTCATCCGCCACTGAGACGTCATTTATGTCGAGTTGAAAAAGGCCAAGGCGAATGAAGCTGCAATGATAAAGAAGGCCGAGGAGTACGAGCTGCGAGTGTCCTCCTCCGAAGCCAAGCTACAAGAATCTGAGTTTATAATCAACGCTCTTAATGCCAAAGTGGACTCCTTGATAGCAGAAAAAGTGGGGGAGCAGGAAAGGCTGCAAACAGAGTGTCAGAGGGTGTAGGAGGCCACTCAAGACCAAATGGTCACCGCTTTCGAGGAAGCTAAGAAGAAGGCTTTCACAGAAGGTTGGGATGCCGCCCTTCACGTCTGTCACGTCGAGGTAGGCTCGAACTTGTTTGTCATGCACAGCTTTCGAAAGGAGGCCAATGACGAAGTCCTGGATGAACGGGTCCGATCCGACCTTGGTGATCACGTGGAGGCAAAAGGGTCGGTCGGGGCTGAAGGTGGAGACGAACCCATCACACTCAGCGATGGATCTGACCAGCTTTCTCCTGCTCTTCCGTCTTTGCCACCCTCCGAGCCTACCGATGATCTGTCCTCTCCACCCCCCATCATTACTGGGATGCATGATACTTAGCTAGATGAGATATTGGGGGCTGGAGATGAGTTACAAAGGCGGCGTGAAGGCCTCGACGGGGAAGAAACCGGGGAAGAATGAGCCGAGAACCTCAACAGTTGGTAGCCTCACTTCTGTCCCATATTTTTGTAGCTTTGTACAGAGTGTTGCTACTGTATGCCTGGGGATGCAAAGCCCTTTTTCTATAATGAACTTTAGTTTTCTATAAGTGTCTTCTTTTCTGCGTCAATCGTATTTATAGGAAATGGCCTCGAAGTAGCAAGGCTTCACGCCGAATTCATAAAAGTAAACGTGCCGAACTCGTTGTTGGGTCTTAGAACCCTTCGGGGCTGTACCCCTAACGACCAAGCGCTTGACTCGTGTTAGTATTTTGAGAACGTTGCTACAAGGGTGGAGTCTTACATCCCTCGGGGCCGTACCCCTAACGACTGAGCACTTGATTCGTGTTAGTATTTTGAGAGCGTTGCTCTAAGGGTGAAGTCTTACACCCCTCGGGGCCGTACGCCTAACGAGCGAGCGCTTGGCTCGTGTTAGTATTTTGAGAGTGTTGCTCCAAGGGTGGAGTCTTACACCCCTCGGGGTCGTACCCCTAACGATCGAGCGCTTGATTCGTGTTAGTACTTTGAGAGTGTTGTTCCAAGGGTAGAGTCTTACACCCCTCAGAACCGTACCCCTAACGACTGAGTGTTGGGCTCGTGTTAGTACTTTGAAAGCGTTGCTCCAAGGGTGGAGTCTTACACCCCTCGGGGCAGTACCCCTAACGACCGAGCGCTCGGCTTGTGTTAGTATTTTGAGAGCGTTGCTCCAAGGGTGGAGTCTTACACCCCTCGGGGCCGTACTCCTAACGACCGAGCGCTTGAATCATGCTAGTATTTTACGAGCGTTGCTCCAAGGGTAGAGTCTTACACTCCTCGGGGTCGTACCCCTAACGATCGAGTGCTTGGCTCATGTTAATGCCACCATGAAGACTGAAACCTGATTTAGTAATAGTATTTTTTTAAATTTGATACATTCCATGGTCGGATTATATCGTCACCGTTCATATTTTGCAAACGATAAGCGTCTGTGCCCCCTACAGAGATCACCTTGTAAGGGCCCTCCCAATTGTGACCCAGTTTTCCATTAGTAGGCTCGCAAGTATTGCCCACTACTTTTCACAGTACCAAATCTCTGACTTAAAAATCTCTCAATCGAACCTTCTTCCGGTGCTGCCGTGACAATTCTCCTTAGTACCTTGTCAGCTTGATGGATGCCAATGACCTTTTTTCCTCGGCTAGATCGAGATTCCTTGCGAGAGTTTGATCATTGTTACCCAAATCGAAGGCTTGGCTCCGTATTGTTGGAAGTCCCACCTCCAAGGGGATGACAGCCTCGACCCCATATGTCAAGGCGTATGGGGTTTCTCCCGTCGAAGTCCTCGGCGTGGTCCTGTATGCCCATAATACG